TCCTATACTACAAAAAAGTTGAGATAACGTTAACAGTAATACCAGCACCAACACCATCAGGGAAAATTCGTGCTAACTTTTACATGACATCACAATGTACATCAGCCGGAGATGTTCAAGAATATGTACTCAGCTAGCTCAAAAGCCCCGTCTAACACTAGCATAAATTAAAACAATGTTAGTATTACAACCACTACCAATACCATCAAGGAAAATTTGTGCTAACTTAAAAATCATATGAAAATGTGCAGCAGCTAGAGATGTGCAGAAATATGTTTTTAACTGTTTCAAAAGCCCCGTCCTATACCACAAAAAATTAAGATCACCTTAGCAGTAATAACACCACTAATACCATCAGAAAAAATTTGTGCTAACTTAAAAACGGTATGACGATGTACAGCAGGCGGAGATGTTCAAAAATATGTATTCAGTTACGTGAAAGGCGCCGTCAAACGTTAGCACAAATTAAAACAATGTTAGTATTACTACCACCACTAACATCATTAATAAAAATTTGTACTATATTAGAAACCATATGAGAATGTACAGCATGTAGAGATGTTTATAAATATGTTTTTAATTGTTTCAAAAGCCCCGTCCTATACCACAAAAAATTAAGATCATGTTAGTAGTAATACCACTAACAACGCGATCAGGGAAAATTTGTGCTAACTTAAAAATGGTATGACAATGTGTAGCAGCCAGAGATGTTCAAAAATATGTATTCAAGTAGGTGAAAAGCTCCGTCTCACACTAGCACAAATTAAAAAAATGTTACTATTAATATCATCACCAACACTTTTAGGGAAAATTTGTGCTAAGTTTACACTGGTATGACAATGTACGGCAGCCAGAGGTGTTCCGAAATATGTATTCAACTAGATCAAAAGCCCTGTGTAGCACTAGTAGAAATAGAAATAAGGTTAGTATTACCACCACCACCAACACTATCAAGGAAAATTTGTTCTAACTTAAAAGTCGTATGAAGATGTGCAGCAGCTAGAGATGTTCAGAAATATGTTTTTAACTGTTTCAAAAGCCCCATCCTATGCCACAAAGAACTAAGATCATGTTAGTAGTAATACCACCAACAACACCATCAGAGAAAATTTGTGCTAACTTATAAATGGTATGATGATGTGCATCAGTCGGAGATGTCGAAAAATATCTATTCGTCGAGGGAAAAGCTCCGGCTAACACTAGCACAAATAAAAACAATGTTAATATTAATACTTCCACCAGCATCATAAGAAAAAATTTGTGCTAATATAAAAATGGTATGACAATGTACAGCAGCCAGAGATGTTCCGAAATATGTATTCAACTAGGTCAAAAGCCCCGTCCTATGATAGAAAAAAATTATATTTTGCCAGTCATAATATCACCACCAGCACCATCAGGAAAAATTTGTGCTAGCTTAAAAATGGTATGACGATATACAGCAGGTAGAGATGTTCAAAACTATGTATTAAAGTGGGTGGAAAGTCCCGTCCTATGGTACAAAAAGTGAAGATGATATTAGCAGTGATACCGCCACCAACACGATCGGAAAAATTTTGTGCTAGTTTGAAAATCATCGGAAGATGTGCAGCAAGTCCAGATGTTCAAAATTATGTATGCAGTTAGGTTAAAAGCCCTGTCAAACAATAGCACAAATTAAAACAATCTTAGTATTACTACCACCACCAACATCATTAGGAAAAATTTGTGCTAACTTAAAAATCATATGAAGATGCACAGCAGCTAGAGATGTTCAAAAATATTTTTTCAACTGTTTCAAAAGCCCCGTCCTATGTCACAAAAAATGAAGACCATGTGAGTAGTAATACCACCACTAACACGATAAGGAAAAACTTGGGCTAACTTTTAAATGGTATGACGATGTGCAGCAGCTTGAGATGTTCAAAAATATGTATTCAAGTGGTTCAAAAACCCCGCCCTACATTAGCACTAATAAAAAGAGTGGTACTAACAGTACCACTAACAACGGCATCAGTAAGAATTTGTGCTAATATAAAAATGTTATGACAATGTACATCAACCAGAGATGTTGAAAAATATGTATTTATCGGGATGAAAATCCGCGTCTAACACTAGCAAAAATTAAAATAGTGTTATTATTAGTGTCACCTGGAACACTATCTGAGAAAATTTGTGCTAACTTAAAATCTATATGTGAATGTACGGTCGGCAGGGATGTTACGAAATATGTATTCAACTGTTTGAAAAGTTCCGTCGGAGGCTAGCACAAATTTAGATTATGTGGCTATTATTACCACCACCAACATCATCAGGGAGAATTTGTGCTAACTAAAAAATTTTATGAATCTGTGCAGCAGCTATGGATGTTCCATAAATATGTGTCGAAGTGGTTCAATAGGCGAGTCTTTTCATAGAAAAATTCAGATGATGTTAGTATTAGTACCACCACCAATAGGGTGCTGATATTTATACACGTTTACAAAGTAATATTAAATTTCATTTAAATAGAATTCTGGTTTTTTTTTAACGTAGATGTTTCACAAGTTCAAGAACCAAAAGAATTACTTAATATATTTCCATTATTCTACAGTATTGCCATGTAAAAATTTTCCCTTTCTTCTTATTTTTCAATAAGATTATTTTATTTTTATAGTCATTTTGATAAAGTATCGATTACTGGACGTTCTCAAGCAGTTGAAATCTCACTTCAATGTAAGAATTCTTTTAAATATATGGTTTTAATAAGAATTGTTATTAAAATAGTAAAATCACGTGAAATGCCTGAAGCTCAAAGACGAATTCATATTGGTCTTTCAAGTGATGATCGACGTTTTCATTTAAATATTATTAAAATGCTTTCATGTCTTCTTGCTGAATATATTATTCGATTTGATAATGATCAAACAAATAGATCACCAGATTTTTATATGCTTCCATCGAAAGTATAATTTATTAATGAAATTTTTTTATGAAAATAATTTTATTTATTTATTATAGAGTAGCAAAAAAGCTAAAGAATCGAAAACTAATGGAAAATCAAGTTTAACATCGGATTCATTAAGAGATAAATGTTTAAAAGGTCTTTGTGATATTCTTCGATCATCTATTAAATCCTTATGGGATTCATCAATTATTGATCAACAATTTGTCAAGTAAATAATTATTTCATTTTTATATATTTAATCATAAAAATTTTCTTTAAAAGATGTGTAACAAAACCATGTTATCATTTACTTTGTCGAGAAGATATTTCAAAAAATCCAATTGTTAAAGAAAATCTTCCATTAATTTTTATTATTATGATTCATGAATTTGAACATGCACCAGGTTAATTTAAATAAAAATAAATTAAATAAGATTACTTTTGATTTTAGAAGCGTCTATTCAATTTATTCAAGCAGTTAAACATTATGATAATAATTCAAGTTTACTTACAACTGTTCTTAATTCACTTTTACTTGATTATCAAGATACATCATTAGCTATTCAATTATTAAAGTTTGTTTTATTTATTTAATATTGATTTTCTTTAAAAATAAAAGTATTCATTTAGAGAAATTTGTCAAACTAATTTTGTTGATACACAAGTTCATAATGCATCTGCTAAAACAATGGCAACATTTATTATTGATATGGCTCGACTTGATCCACATATTATTCAAACACATTTTCATCAAATAGATGATTTATTAAAAGTCGAAGTAATTTTTGAAAACAAACTAATTCTTCTATCTTATCTTTAACAGAAATTAAAGATACATATTCAACAATCCAAAAAATTTGAGATTAAAAACAATAATTCCCTAGATGTTTAGAGTTGCGATTTGAAGAAACTGTCGAAGTTTGCTCGTAAAAATAAAAGCTTGATGTATTCAGCTATGGTTTAAAAATAAATTTGTTGATACAAGGAAAATCAAATAGTAAAGATATATGAAAATACTTTTCAGACACTCCGTATAATATGGGTTGAGAATAGAGCCGGTCAGGTAGAATTCAGGTTCGGGTCTGAAAATTTCCTGTGGACCAGGGTTGGATCTGGAAATTTTCTACCGACTAGATGAGGGTCTGACTTGACAGTTGCTACTTTGAAAGTAATAGCTAACTAGAACTTTATTCTTATGTGATCACTATCAAAATTTCTAGAGCAATGTATAGGACATGCTAATCGATGCATTTAAATAATCGAACAAAGTATCTCGTATCTTCAGAGTGACTATCAACTTTGGATGGAAAAATTTTATCGATAATATTATGAGTATAGATCGGGTATGAAAAATGTTCCGAGTCCAGATCTAAAAATTTTGGACCCGACGGACTGTACTTGAGAATCAATATAAATTATTTCTTTGTTTTAGAGTCATCATATTCGTGTTGCTGCTTTAACAGCATTATGTTCTGTTATTGAAAAACTTCTTTCATCCAATGATTTAGATGATGGACAAAGAAAAATGCGTGATACTCTCTTACAAATATTACGTGTAAGTCCATTTATTTATATTTGAATGAAATATTTTTCTTTGTTGTTTGATATTAAATTAGAACCATGTATATGATGTAACAGCATTTCTTCGTCAACATTATTTACAATTATGGACATCACTTATACAACAAAAAAAAGTTCCTGTTAGACAATATCTTCGAGTATTTGAACTCAGACTTGATCGATTAAGAGATTGAGCTTGTACAGTTCGAAAAGATGCAGTAACACTTGTTATGCATATGGTTCTTAATAATCCTTATTTTGTTGTTGTAAGTTTATTGAGTGAAGATTTTTATTAATGAGATATTTTCTTGTTTTAGGATTCAACTCGAGCTCAATTTGAAGAAGGACAAAATGATGCTGAAACAAAATTAGCTGAACTTCGTGCAGAACTTGAAAAGTTAAATAAAAATAAAAAAGTAGAAAATAAAATAAAAGAAAAAGCTAAATCTGATGATGAAGATAGTGGTGCAGAAGAAGATGAAATGGAAACGAATAATAATCATGTAAATATCTCTAATAAATCACTATCAAATTGAATAATATTTTCTTATTTAAATAGGAAGAAGAAACAGAACAACATAATCCAAATGAAGATCAATCTCTTGAAGAAACTTTAAATCGACTTAAAATTGAAGAACAAATAATGCATTTAGAAGATATCGTTACTTTATATAAAGTAAATTTAAATAAAAAACTTCTTTTATATAAATCGATTATCTTAGGATGGACTTCGATTTATGGATTTAATTGAACAAGCAAATCGATATGTTGTTAATTTATTTAATTCTCCAACATTAGCTGATCGTAAACAAGCTATTGATTTTTTTGTTAAACTTCGTCATTATCGTCTTACTTTGCCAAATATCGAACAAAATATACGTTTAATGTTTAGTCTTATTTGGTCTGTTGATAAATCAAAATGTGAAGCAATTACACAAGCTTTTGTTAAAATTTATTTTGATGTATCACCAACTATTGCTCGAATGTATGTTTGTTTTAGATTAACATGTCAATTTCTAATGAATTAATTTATTTTTTAGACATATTCCTTTGCATCAAGCTCGTGGAATAATTCGTGCTCTTAAAAGTGCAACATTTTCTGAAGAATTATGTTTTGAAGAAATTCTTAAACAATTAATAAAAGAAAAAAAAATTCCTACTGAAGCTATAACTGAAGCTTTATGGAAACTTTATAAATTTCCATATGATGATAATACTGATGTTATAGCTGGAAAAATTCTTACATTTATTGTTGGGTAAAAATTTTTTTTCTCCCAATGAACTATTTAAATATTTCATTTTTTTTTTGTTCAAATAGAAATGAAGTTTATAGAAAACTAAATGATATAACTGATCTTATTCAAGCTAAAGAAAAAAATCATCGTTTTGTACATATATCTTGTTTACTTTTACAATTAGCGGCTACACCAAAAAAGGTTTTCAGAAAGATTGTTTTTGTAATTGAAATATTTATTTCATATTAAACATAGATTGAAAATGGCGTTCGACCAAAACAATTTCGTTTACCAAAAACTCATCGTCTATTTGAAATTCTTCGCAAGATTATTGTGTCAAGTAATAAAAAAATTATTATTTCATTTTAAATTTTATAGATTTTTGTTTTAGCATTTGATGATGTTTCCGATCGACAATGGACACCAATGATGGAATCAGCATTTGATGTTATTTTTAAATTAGCTGATGGTCCAATAGAACATATTGAAAATATAATAAAAAAACTTGCTGTTAAAACAGGTGTTAAACTTGGTGGTCTATTTAAAATTCCATTATCTATTGAATCAATGGATTTTGAAAGTAAAAATTTCATATATATATATATATTTCTTTTTCATTTTCAATTTAATTGATTTCTTTAGATGCTGGTAATGAAAATAATCAAAATCAATTATCTCAACACCAACAACAATATCATCATCATCATTCTCAAATGAATGCAAATTCAGCATTACTATTAGTTCGTTTTTTAAATTGTTTAGGAAAAACAGCTGTTGGAATTGTTTATTATTTTGATTGTACGGTTAAAGATGAACTTCTTCGTCGAAAAGAAGCTAAACAATCACCTGCAGCTAATAAAAAGTTACAAGAAAAAACAAGAAATTCAAAAAAACGAACAAAACGTAAAAGACCAGATGAAGATGATGAAAATCAATCAACATCAATGAATGATACAACGAATAGTTTATCAAATCTTACTGTAAAATCAAATAATTACTTTGATTATTTATTATTTTAATTATTTAGTTAAATTCAACAACTAATCGAACTGTTGATGATGAACAAGATGATGAAATGTGTCAAGTATTTGGTGGTGCTGAAGCTGAAGATTCAGTTGATAATGAAATTAATTTATATATTAAATCATTATGTGAAGAAAATTCATCATTAATGCAATATAAAAATATTGTTGAACAAGTAAATATATTTTCTTTTTCAATTTAAACTAAAAATTTTCAATGAAATAAATCCTAAGAAATCCTATAAATCATCATACTCCGAATCAAGACAGCTAAGAATATACAGTAGGATGCAAAAAAATTGCCGTTTGACACAAAAGTTTTGTCAAAGCGTAGTTTCTTATTTTTCCAAGCAATCATTTTAAAACTATTCAAAAACGCTAGCCACTAGTTCTATGCATCCGGCGAAAGTAGCAGGTCTCCAAACATGTTACTAAGTTTCATGAAAATGGCACATCATTCAAGTGCTGCTACTCTATCAGTGGATCGATTAGTCATCTTATACTATTAGAGTGAGGATTGTCATAAGACCACCCAAAGCTATCTGTGTAAGGAAGACCTCTGTCCATACTATCTGTTATAAAATTTCCAAGATTAAAAAGTGAACCTTTATGGAGCATGTGAGTTAGCAAAGCAATTTGTTTAGCCATAGAAACACCTAATCATCATGCGGACATCAAATAGCAGAAAATTTATGTTAGTTGTATCGTTGTGATCAGTACCGAAACAGGCTGCTTATAGTGGGAAACTCTCAAATCTGGATAAATTACAAAGATTCTTGAACGAACCATAGGGTAGAATTGTCATGTAAACGGTATGATATAAAAAGATCGAAAAAACAAAATCTCGAAAATAACTTGTCGAATAAAAAAAGTAGAAAAAAACAAAAAGTAGAAAAATTGAAATCTCGAAACATTAAAATATCAAAAAATCTATATTATTCAAAATGTTGAGACGAGGGTGAAGGTAGCACATTCTGCTGTAATCAAAAGTAGAAAACGACCAAAATATAAAATGTCGAAAATAAAAGTGTCAAAAACAGAAATGACAGTGTATATGCAAATGAAAACGTGTGGGTGAGACATGGGGATGGTGAGAAGGTGAATGAGGGTGGGAGAGATCTCTATTTTCAGAAACATGAAATTTTTTGAAGGCTCTTTCCTTGAATATTTGTTTCATTTTTTTTTCGATATTTTGTATTTTCGGCGTTTTCCAATTTCGAGATTTTTATTTTCGAGATTTTGTTTTCGGCCAATTTTCTTTCGGTCTTTTTTTTTCGACCTTTTTACAGCAATTCATGTAAACTATAAGGTGTTTGATCGCTTCCAAGAAAGTGAACTTTTTCATTCTTATTGATTCGAAGAGAACACAAAGTTTTTATGAAATCCTATAATTGTAGACTACAGCACATATGTTATCTACCAATTAAAACAGTTTCAATATTCATTGCTTTCAGTACGAGAAATTTATAAAGTTGTAACGGCAATTCTTTTTGCACCCTACTGTATATGTATATTAATATTTTTTTTTTCTAAAATATCGAAATATCAGAAAAAGAAAGCAAATCTTCTTCTAAGATTATCGACATTTATAAACGTTAATTTTATTGAAATTCTTCTGTTTGTTTAATTAAGATTCTTCTTCGTCAAAATGAATATCATGACGAAACATTACAATTAAGTGCAACAATATGTTTATGTAAATTTATGTTATTATCTGTTGAATTATGTGACAAACATGCAAAAATGTTATTTGATTTATTAAAATATTCGACATTTGAAAGTGTTCGAGTTGCTATTTTGGTTTTAATGAATAATTTTTATTTAAAGTAAAACATTTTTTATTAAACAAAAATCAAATAAATAGATTTTCTTTTAAAGATATCCATCATCATTTGATGCTTATTCAAATGGTGTTTATGGTTGTTTACTTGATCTATCAGATAATGTTCGTTTAGTAGCATTAAAAACAATATCAAATTTAATTCTTAAAGAAATGATGAAGGTTAGATTATTATTCAACAAAGAAGAAACTCTTATATTTATTTGTTTATTTAGTCAAAAGGGCAAATAAGTGAAATAGCATTATGTATTATTGATAAACATCCTTAAATAGCTACATTAGCTACATCATTTTTTAGTGAATTAGCTAAACGACAAGATGGTGAAGCATTATTTAATACTTTACCAGATATATTTTCAAATTTAGTTGGCGATAAATTAGATAAGCAACCTCAATTAAATGAAGAAGATTTTAAATCTATTATCGAATTTTTATTTAAATATGTTAGTAAAGAAAAACAAACAGAAAGTTTATTAAAAAAATTATTGCAAAGATTTCAAATGGCTAAGTAAATTATTTATTTTCATTTTATTTTATTTTATTTTTTAATAATTTTTTTCTTTAAGTGATAATCCTCGTTTATGGCGTGGTCTTGCTTATATCATGTCAAAATTAACATATAATGAACGATCATTAAAATGTTTACATGATGATTTTAATTATTATGCAGATAAATTATTTGAAGATGCTGTTTATGAATCATTTTTAACGATTCTTAATAATGCAAAAAAGAATTTAGGAACTAAACCTGATTTAAAAGTAAAAATAAAAAGAATTTTTTCCTTTTGTTTATTATTTTTCATTGATTGAAAATGATCCGATTTCTTTATAAAAGGTTGTATTTGATAAATTATCGACTCGTATTGAAGAAGCAAGATCATCAAATGGAATTTTAATTGCTGTACAACAAGCACAACAAAAAACAAAACAACAATCAAAAGGTAAAAAAAATCAAAACTAAAAAAGAACTAACGATGGAAGTCCTTCAATTTGCGGGGCAGACCTTTTTGGTATCCGTTCCGATCACAGTCTAGAAAGAACTATTCCAGAGTTTATTCATATCACATCAAAAAAAATTTCTTTAGTCCTTATTTTTTGATTTAGTCGATGACTGGCACTTTTTCAATCATCTCTTTTGAATTATGTTCTAATTGATGATTTATAAGATACTTTGCTTAAAACTAGAGAATATTGAACTATAATCTTTAGTTCCGGTTAGAACAACTTTTTTCTCGTAGTCTCAGTCCCGTCCGGTCTCAGCAACTTCTCATTTTGGTGGTCCAGGTCTAGGCCAATACCCACATCCACACCCTTTTTCTTATGATCTCAGTGACCGAAACTGGAGCTACTGTTGGTCTCGCACATCTCTAGTTGAGACTATGTGCATTATGTGGATTTAAATGAGCTATGAATACTCTGAAAGGAGCTCGTGCCCTTAGCTTATTGCTGTGAAGATTCTGCACTTTTTAAATGAATGCCGTGATCCTCAAGAAAAAAAATTCATTTTCGAATTTCGATTTGTAATTTTGTATAGAAACAGGTCTTAACTAGAATAGATTATTGTGAAAGTTTCAGATCTTGCCACTGTTCCTATTCTAAGATAGAACTATGATAATAGTATGTCTTTTACGTTACTCGTATAAATGGGCAGATTTAATGTTCTTATTTTAGTATAGAAGTCAATCAAAAGGCCTGAAACTTTCACAATAAACTTCTCTTGTTTAAGCCTGTCTCTATGCGAAATTTCAAGTCGAAATTTAAAAACGAGTTTTTCTGAGAGGGACTATGAGATTGATTTAGGAAGTGTAGTAGCTCCGCAGTAATAAGCTACAGCCACAAACTTTTTTCAAGATATACATAGCTCATTTGGTTCTATATAATCTTAACTTAAAAGCAATTTATCAGTCAGAGTACTTTTCTCGTAAAATTCTTTTTATTTATAACAAAATTTATTTTATTTTATTTTTCAATAGCTGCTCGTGCTGGTGGAGCGATGAAAGGTAAACAAACAACAAGTCGTAGTAAAGCAAAAGCAAAACAATGTAAGATTTAATTTTTAAAGAAATAAAAAAAAAACAAATATTATGATAATTCATTTTGATTTTTAGCTGATGATAATGACGATGATGATTTAAAAGAAAATGATGGCGACGATGATGATGATGAAAATGTATTTAAACGACCAATGAGAAAAGAATCAAAAGTGCAAACAATAAGTCGATCAAAACGTGGTGCGGACGGAACTGCACGTAAAAAAGCAGCTGTAGTAGCGAGTGATGATGAAGATGATGATTAACTTATTTTTTTTTTGTTTTTTCTTGTATTATATTAAATTGTATATTTTGATTTGGTTATTTACTTTTTCTTTTGATGTTATTCTTTCTCTTTCTCTTTCTCCTTCTCTTAATGTCCATTATTAGAAGACTTTGTTATGCATAATACTTTCATTTATTTTGTGTTTCATTTTGAAAAAAAAATTATAAACTGTTTTTTTTCTGTCTGAATATTGCAAATAGAAGACCTGTTGATGAAACTATTTTGTTTTTTTGAAAAGGCTAATATTAATTGAAAATCATTGATATTTTTCTAACAGCAAGAAATATTTTATCTTGATAAGAAAAAAAGAAACGTTTAATCGTTTATCGCACTACAATTTTGTATGAAGATCTTGACAGAAAAATAAATGAAAGAATTTATTTTCTATGATCCTTGTCATCCAATGGAAGAGAAAGGTCTAGTTATATATGGAGAGTAATCAAATATTCGTACACAAAAATAGAATATAAACAAGTTGTATCGTAAGGTTTGTATACAGTACGGCAATAAAACAAGTAACGCGTCGGCTCTTTGAGCCTCGCTCAGCTCAATTCTGAAAGCTTGGGACTATGGTGTAGAGCATTGAGTATTCTATAACTAAACATATATTCCTAAATGAATCTGAAATAAAACCAAGCAATTTATTTTGCGAACGGAATTGTCAATAAGTATTAGAGTAAATTTTCTTTACAATAGCATATAGTTTAAAATTCGTTTGTATTTAATATGTATTAATTATATGCGCATGTCCATATCTGTGAAACATAGCGATGTCCGTCTTTCATAATATAGGCTAAGTTTCCAGCGATTTGATGCAATAAATGGATAATCTCATCAAATCAAAATGTTCGTTATTCTTATAGAATGGTGGTGACACAGAATCAAACTTCATTCAAAGAAGTCATATTCGATTTTTTTGTTGAAGTATTGAATGATAATGAATCTTCCTGAAAAATTGATCCTATTATTAACTACTTCTGTATTCGAAGTTTCACCATTGTAACAAGTAATAAAGTTAACAACAATAAAACATTAAGAAGAAAAGATCTTGATCGATCTTGTAATCATTATCGAACAAGTTCAAATATCTGCAATCGGACTCCAATTTTGCAACTTACAGCTTTTGTAGTACACATCTTACTTTCAAAGATATATCATTTATATCAACCCAATTCATTCACTGATTATATGATATTCGTTACCGTTTGTTTCACAAGAATGTCGTAATTTCTATTGCAAAACAATTACTCCGTGTTGGACAAATAATGGCTCATGAGGAAAGAACAAATGCATGCGTATGATGAGATTTTGTGGCTATCTCTCATTTGCAAACATGAAGAAAACAAATTTTAAGTAAATTAAAATTTTTAAAATTTCGTTTGATTTAAATTTGATACTTTTATTAATTTTTTGTAAAACAATTAAAATTTATATTTAACTTTTAAAAATTTGATTTTTTTACTAAGCATGCTGCAGTTTGTAGAGGACGTCAGACTTTAGTTGAACTAATATTTTTCTTTGAATCTAGCTCCAAAGAATTTCAATAGAAGTCAAAAATAGAATATACTAGCTGTTTTTTTTCTTTTGTTATTGATAAACTATTACTCATAATGCACGAGCAAGGATCGTCGATTTGGGCTAAACTAAGAACGACTTCAGTTAAAGGCAAAACGAGTTTTTAAGGAGACTGAGTCGAATCTTTCATTTCATCTCCCGCACTTTTTGATGGATAGTTTTTTTTCGATTTTTAAGCTAGCATCTTTGAAAAAGACTTATACTTAAAAGGAAATGCCACATCTCACATCGCACTATCATCTTTCATGAAAGTTTAAATGCTCTTTTTATATCTTTCTACCTTCATTCACACCTTTTAAATGACATTAGCATGTAAACTTTCATTTATTTTAAATATGCAAACCTCACCTTATCAGTACCATCGTCAATGTGAATAAAGAATCATGCAAAGAAAAACACGAAAGATGGAAAGGTAAAACAGATATTTGCCACATTTGTGTGATTATGGCCGACGATGATGTAGACTGCAATCTTCGACGATATCAAAACATGATGCAAGAAGCTTATGCACGTCTTCCTGCCTTTGATCCATTGTCAGTTGATGAACTTCGGGGAGTAACTGCGATAGCTCGTGCACCTTGGACCGAAGGTGGACGAACGATGAAGCGGATAGAAGAAAAACATGTTGGTGATTATTCAACACGCGTTCGCATTTACTATCCAGACGATAGTCAAATTCTTCCAGCGCTTATTTACATTCATGGAGACGGTTGGACAATCTTTAGTCTTGATACACACGATCGACTGATGAGAGAATATGCAGATCGAGATAGAATTGCCGTTATTAGTGTAGATTATAGTCTGTTACCAGAAGTAAAATATCCACGAGCCATCAATGAAATCATTCCAGTGGTTCAATGGTTGAGAAAACAAAATTCAGCAGAATTAAGGATCGATGTGCGCTGAATAGCGATTGGTGGTGATTCAGCCGGTGCAAATCTTAGTGTTGCAACCAATCTGCGCTTGCGCGATCTAAATGAACCAGTTCTGATGGCTCAACTTCTAAATTATGGTGCCTATGATAGTGTTAGATCTGAGTCGAATTTATGCGCGCGTTACGACTGTCCCAGATATCGATTAACTATAGATGAGATGTGATGTTTTCAGAAGAATTATGTGCGAGATGAGCGAGATTTCGACGATCCACCAGTATGTCCTCTTCATGCCGATCTTCGTGGTCTTCCACCGAGTTTTCTTGCTATTGCTGAATGCGATGTTCTTGCCGACGAAAATCGAGCAATGGCTGAGGCATTATGTAATGCTAATGTTGAGGTTGAAGAGCGTGTCTATCAAGAAGCAACACACAGCTTTCTTGAAGTTGTTCGCATTGCAGCACTCAGTGATAGAGCTTTGAATGAAGCTACTTGTTGGCTTGTTCAACAACTTAACCGTGAGATTAAAGATTCCCCGTCAATATCATAATACCTTGTCTGTTAAGACATGTCAACTAGAATAACGAGAATGTGTTTGAACAAGGTAATATTTCGTTCGAAACTCTGCAAAATGAATTTTTAATCGTTCCACTTTGTTTTGCCAAACTTGTTTAACTTTTTCATTGTTCATTTTCGAATAAAATATATAAACAAGCAATAAGCTCAAATGCTGATTTATTTTATATCTATTCCATTAATTGAGAATGCGAGAGAATATAATATCATTACTCTCCTACTGGCATCTACAAAGGAAGTCAAAAATGATAAAAAGAAAATATAATACTTTAACTTCACTTTAAATATTAGAGTAAAGATAATTCTTTAGACTTAAAAATTAAAGTAAGATTGTTCAATGTTTGTATTTTAAACTTGATAATGAGAAGATTAATCACTTTTTACCACATTCCTGAATATTTCATAAATCATTTATAGATGGAATAGATCAGATAGTTTAACTTATATATGACCCCTTTTTTTAGACTTGAGGAGTGAGTGTGGGTGTCGGCTACAGCTAGATGATGCATTCATCTGCATCCCACACCCTCTTTACTAGCGATGCTGCTTCTTAAAGTGAAGTTGGTCTCTAGTGATTGATGTAAAGGTGTATTTTATTAGGACAATGCCTTAATAAGATCTTCGATTTCGAGGTTTTTCATTCCTGAAGATATTTTAAAATGTTCTTCATCAATTACTATAAAAGTCACATCTTTATCGAGTTGTGTAAGCTCTCAAAAATTTTAATGTCAAGAACCGATATATATTAAAAATAAAGCCTGTTGTTTTTGAATGAAGATCTTATTGCAATCTTTATACATAATACTATAATCAGCTTGATTTGATATTTTGACATGTTCGACAATGTCATTGACTCAATTTTACATAATAACTCAATATTAATGAAAATAGATGGAAGAAAATGAGAAACATATTGTGTTATATTTTCTGAAACTAGAGAAAGAATAATCAATGATTGATTTTCTTGAAGAAATTTTTCACTTAAAACTGAAATATAAATCAAAGACATTGAAGTAAATAAAACTGAGTCAAATGACATTCTTGTTGAAAAATTAATATTACGGTTAACAAAACAGAATGATTAAATGTCTTTGTAGTTGATTGATCAAGTGATGATGATGATTTATTCTTTTTTTCATCTTTACATAAGAGTACCACTGAACGACTTAACAAATGTAAAATACTGAAGATTATATATAATTTTCCATTTTCAGTTTATTTCTTATGGATATTAATTATATTTGGATAGTCAAATTGTTTTAAAATTATTCTTGTTCTCTAGGTTAGTAAAATATTAATAATGAATAAATCTCATATGTTATCATATTGATTTAAGTTCGAATAAAAGCTTCAAGATGATGGTAATATTAAAGTGGATGTTTGTATTTAAGACTGCTAACAGTGTAACTCATATAGCACATTTTACTTTACAAGTTGATTTATTAAAAATAAATTTTCAACTCTCACTTTCCGATCATGATTATGAAAATACTGTCCGAGACACGCACTAAAGTCTGACCCTAATAATGCATAGTTTATATTTCTCACAAATACTTTCAAATGAAATAATTTATTTAATAAAAAAAAACTTTTTACAAGAATCAATTCTACACATCCTATAATCGTATCCATTCTATAGAGATATTATCAATCATACGTTTAATAATATAATTCAAGAGAAGTTTTTCAATATTTATCATTCTATTTAATTTTTGAATAATTTCATCATCTGCTGCTGAAATATGAAAACACAATAAACGAAGATGAACATTACAATCATGATTAATTTTTTCGACAATAAATCTTAAAACAGATTCAATATCCATAGTATTTGTATAATCTATTTTAAGATCTACAATATCATACATCTTTTCAAGATATACTTTTGTAATTTTACTTGTATGTTTTATTAAACTCGACATAATACACTCGTGAAAATCGAGCATTAGTATTCGATATGATGATAAAGAATGAATTTTTAATGTATTAAATTCTGGTAAGAGACTTATAGCTTTGATCAATGCATTCATAAACATATCGTCTTCTGAAATTTCCAAATGATAAATTTTCCCTAGAGTTAAAACGCGTGTAATATTTGACTTCATTTAGAAATAAATAACAAAGTCTCGTTCTTGTCATTGATTATCAATGAAAACAACCACAGTGTACACGAAATTTTTCAGTTTACATATGATGTATTAGAATATTAAGGTTTAAGGGTATATGTGAGTTCCACATTTCAGCTTCAAAGGAGCTGCGCTAACAAGCTTTTCGTACATCTTTTTCTCTCGACATTATTTTTCCATCAGTCTTTGGTCAAAAACATTTTTTGTGATTCATTAATGTTTCAGCTTGGACTATCTCAAAGTGGTCTGTTGGAGATCGAAACGGTGCTAGATAGCTGGATCATAGGATCTAAAAATCTTTTATCCTAAGAGTAGGTACACATACTATGGATAAGACTGAGACAGTGGTGATTATTCGAATTTTCAGAAAACAATCATAGAACACAATATATGACAATGAGTACTTTGTGTCGAAAATTACGACATATTCTATTTTAGGTAAATAGCATAGATTGATCGAAGCCTCCGTTAGAAGTAAAGCATTAAAGTTTATGAAAAATATAATAATATGAATATTTATACTGTTTTTGAAGTTTGACTGAAATAGTTAGATACATTCGATTTATTAAAAATTTAGACAAAACAGTTCGTTGTATTGTTTTTGTGAGCCTGTCAATATTGATCGATTAACTCGAGTTATAGGAAGCAATTTGCTCAGGAGTTAGCACATCAGTCTGACCAGCTTTTTGTAGAAAATCTTATATCGAATGTTGAATGGCACTCTGTGGACTTGTAAATTTGAAGGAATATCCTACAATAGTTTTGAATATGTGATCACACCAAAATTTTCCATTGTACTTCCATTATCAGTTATGAAAACCCTATTATACTCATCGATGTATTCACCTCCGGACGCTAACACCATTTGGCGTCCGTTTATACTGCAGGACACTTAATCTTGTATTGCGTACGTTTTCTTTCTCTTCAGACATTACTGCCTCTGTGAAAAGGACATGTGAAAAACTGTAAATATCGTAACAAGCGCAATAATCATTTTGTTGCTGTATAATGGCATGCGTTCTATTGTATGTTATATCAGACATCTATTTATACTGGAACTGCTGTTATCAGTATTATCCGACGAACAAAGTAGATCTGCATAATAATCCTACTTCCAAGCAGATTAAGATTTTTTTTCACAACTTGAGCCATTTATCAATTAAACCTTTTAATCTCTCCTTTGTACAGATATCTATAATCCTTGAAAATCAACATTCTTTAGTTAAATATTTGTTTTCTTCTTCTAGGGCAAAACGATAAAACCGGTTTCTTTCAATAAGGTGGATGTGAGTATGAATAGAATCATGATTGCTTCATGACAAACGGCGTTTGTTTCTTTCCTTGTTTTGCTCTAGTATGATTTTGATAATTTTCATCAGCATCTGATTGTTTTCATTGAAAAGGCTTTTTTGTTATTGTTATCTTGTATCGGATTGAGCGGTCGTTTTGCTAAATGTACAGAATTATGATCGATTTGTATGGATGTGATGATGGTTGTAATTATTTCACTCAGTTGGAGGGATCGGTTTCAATATTAGCGCCAATCCTGTCATTTTTATTTGAATTGCAAACGGATGACCAGGCGTTAGTTGGTTTGTTTCTTTTTTGACGACGGCATCCAATTGCGCATGATGTGATTAAGGGCTTGGTCCGCTCAGTGATTCTTAGTGTTTGTGGTAGTAATCTGGTATAGTAACTTGGAATAGTTTCAGTGTTGCCATAACTTGTATTTGAATGATTCAGTTTTGTTATCTTAGTGGTAAGTCAAGGGTATGGGTGTGGGTGTGACAATACTCACGCCCAAAACTCCAGGTTTAGACTGAGATTATAGATCAAAAGTATAAACATGTGTATGCAAGCGTAAGTGCATAGGCCTAGACCGTAAGTTTATGAGTATAGACTTGAGGATAAAAAATTGAATAATATATGTATAAGGTTTTAGGTGTGAGATAAATGCGTAGGCGCATGTGTTATGATAAGGAAGCTGAGATTTATTGATGACTCTCGTTTCTTCTCATTACGGTCGTGGGCATCTATTTAGATAGAGATATAGTTGTAAACGTTAGTGGATACTGTGGTTTCCCTAGGAAATACGACTGTTGTACGGTAGGGCTATCCCTGTAAACAATATAAGTATTTCGCCGCGTATTGAACGGTGATATACAGCCATAATTCGGTATATTCTGAAAAGTTAATTTTCTAGTGGTATACAACCATATTTTGGGCATTTAGGTTCGTTTTCGATCTCATAAATGTCTATATACGATCGTATTTGGTCGGCATAATGTTCGGCCAGGTAAAAAAAAACCGTTTTTTTATTTTATCATATCAATAAGCCAATGTGATTGTGATGTTTTTATTTTGTTACTTGTGTTTTAAATGCTTTTTTAGTATCATGTTTTGTTTGCCTTGTGTCAGTTTTCAATGATTGTTTTCTATTTTGTTTCACTCGCTTTCTTCTCGTTTCTTTCCATCTAATTTATTTATGCAGCGTTTTTTTTCTTATATATTGGTAATATCGTTGCATTGCATTATAATATCATTATCAAGTTTATCTCGTGTTTGGTTCTTAATAGAAGAATAAAAATGGTAGACAGTAGATAATTAACATTCACTTCATAAATCTGATTATTTATCGTATATTAACAAATGACAATGAAAACAAAAGCGAATAACTATAACACACTTTTGATTAAAATTCCATCTAGTCTTACCGAATCTCTTAACTTGCATTGTAGGATCTGGTAAGGTCTTGTCGGATTCAATAAGATTCTTTCCCGCTTAAATATCCGCCAGATTTTGAATCACTGGACCCTGTACTCAGTCCGACAGCATCCGATTAACTGAAGTTGGAATCTGACTATTTCTAACATAATCTGACAAGATTCAATGATCGAATTTTTTAACCTCTAAGAAGAAAGATGATTGCTGCCGCGATTACTTTATGAGCGAGAGTATCCATTGATTCTATTGAAATTACTCATTCTTGAATACTTAACAAGTGTCCTATCATGTATTTAGACTCAACGTCGAGAGATGCAAAAGATTTTGAGTGTTTCATGGGTTGTATCAATAGTGTTACTGCCATTGATGCTCGTCGAGTGTCAACATCTCTACGAATATGATGATGATGGTGTACATGGTATACGAATCTCAGGCAATGATCAGTTTGTCATCTTTGCATATAATGATTACTATTCTTATACCATCAGTTTTGCTCCATTCACGACTTATCCTCCATGCACTGCTTATTATTCGAATACCGACACCTACGTCTATAGTGCAGCCGTGTTGTTTAACAACAACACTCACGTTCATGATCTGTACACAATTGTGCAAATAGCTGAAGATACAAACACATTCAATGTATTTTTCAGTATCATCGTGGTGAATAAAACACTCTGTGGTATGTCTAGTTTCAATGTAATGGTTTTCTACATACTCTAATTGTGCAAAGTTATTTAGTGAATCTCTCTT